GGAGTCCTCCAGAGTCCTCCAGAGTCCTCTGAGACCCGAGTCCTCGGAGACCCGAGTCCTCCAGAGTCCTCTGAGACGTCTCTGAAGTGTTTCTGAACCCAACACCTCCAGTGCTTACGAGATTTTTTATTTCTTTTGTTTTTCTTTATTCTTGGCCTTAATGTATTTATGAGTCCACGACAGAGCCCAGACTTCCTGTGGGAACAGGAAGTGACTGTGCAAACAGGAAGTCAGAGGAGATCAAGTTTCTGCCAAACTAAGGAGCCTTCAAACAAAAACCAGAGAATGACCTTTTTCAGTATTAATAGAGTTAAAGACAAAGTATTTAAGATGAAATACAGAAATTAGCTTTCTAGTGGAGAGTTTAGTATTTTCATGCTGTCGCCTGATAAATGGATCACTGTACATACGTGTCACCATCATCATCATCATCATCATCACCTCTGAAACACGCCCTTCACAGCAGGAAACAGGAAGTTCACTTTTCTGCTGGACGCAGAGCAGCACAGCTTCAAGCTAACGATGCTAAAGCTACATGTTTAACATGAGTGGAGCTAAGCTCCGCCTCTTTTTGGGAAACTGACCCCTCCCCCTTTGAAGGTGAAAGATCAAATTGGTCGAAGAGGAAGTGGGCGGTCTGTAACCGTTTTATTTCTGCGTCTTCAAACGAGTCAGCCTTCCTGTTTCCTGTCAACAGGTACACAACCTGTGGTGCATCCATTAAGCCCCTCCCACTTTACCCAGTATGGAAAATATGCCAAAAACGTCTTTGTTTTTATACTGAGACCCGTGGATCAGTTCCTGCCTTTGTGTTTTTATATTTTGTGTATTTTGAGCGACAGATGAACACTGCCTCATTGTTTCAGGGTTTGTTGTTGTTGTTGTTGTTGTTTATAAACAGAAGTGGGACGTCTCTGCCGAGCTGTAACAACAGTCGCGAGTCTTCCTGCCGGTCCAGAGAGATCCCACTTCTGGGTTCAGAGAGCCCGAACAAAAACTGCAAGTCTTTATTTTATCAGACCTGAATCATATCCAGCTCCCCGGGTTCTGAAGAACCGGCGCCGCCCATGATCGGACCAAGACTCCCTGATCTCTGAGCACCGCGTCCTCCGACAAACAAACAAACAAACAACAAGCTCAAACTAAAACTAAAGATCTGAAAGAACTTCTTTTATTTTGAAAGGTCCAGAGCACAGGCTGGATTTTACATTTTGGTTTAAAACCGTTGGACCCAGTAAGGAACCAGTCCTAACGCAGAACCTGAAGAAGCTGTCAGAGGAAGACACGGTGTTCAGAGCGAAGGAGAAGAGTCGTTAAACCAGATCAACCCCATCAGCCTTTGATTTCACAATAAAAGCATCATCACATCGGAGGGCTTTTATTTTGGTGACAGGAAACGTGCCATGTGCTGCATATCAGATCCTCACCTGGCAGGTGAACCGGATGGAACCGGCTCAGCGTCACCTGTTTGTTTGTTTTTTATTTCTTCGTCCTCCGAGAACAAACCTCTTCATCGTTCGTAGAAACTTCTCCGGGAGAAACTGTGCGGCGCTAAAACAGATCTATTTTACTACACGCCACGACATTTGAACAAAAAAACATTTTTATATTCTTTACGGAGGACAAAACGCTTGTTTTTGGTCAGGAGGCGGTGAAGAACCACTTCCTGTTTGTGTTTAAAGACAGGAAGTGGTGCGGTGATAGTGTGTGTGTTTATAGGAAAGTGTTTGTCTTAAATATGCCAACGTAGGTTTTGTTTTTGTTTTTCTGATGCATTAAAGCCGACTGATGRACGGAGGGTAAAGAGTAGTTCCACTTTTTGTACCGAGTTCTTAAAAAAACAAACTATGGAATCATTAATAAACAAAAACAAAAAGAGTCCGCTTTGTTTTTAAGACTTTTAATTTGAAAATATTGCTTTTATTTTGGTACAGAGGATGCTTGTACTGCTTCACAGCTGGTATTTTAAGTTTTTAAAGAATTAGAAACAAAGATTAGAATTAAATCAAAAACAATTTTTACTCAATTGTTTCTTTTTTATATAAATATTTTAAATTAATTCAATTTAAAAACTGCTTTTAATTATGT